CGAAACTATTCTGAACAATAGATAGTAGTAGGGCAGTAAAACTATAGGTTTCTAAGTACTTCGAGGTCCTGTGTAGCATTTCAACTGAGATTCAGTTTGGTAGGAAGAGTTCATAAATACAAAACTGCTCCCAGTATTCATCTAGTCAACTTAAGAGAAGTGAGGTGGTGACTCAGATGAACAGGCAGCATTTATGTGTGTGGCATTTTCCTTGTTCCCAGGGCAGGGGATACTGTAGATAGGGTCTTGTCATAGTTGGAAAGTAGCTGGCTTCTTGTTATGCCACATCCCGTATTTAATACTTGAGTTTATGTTGTCATCTTGGAGAAACATATACCAACGTTCTGCGTACTTTTGATCAGGATAATGTTTACAAATATCAGCTTTCCTGGGACCAGCAGTTGGCATAATGGCTATGTTGCTGGACTCCCATGTAGTTGACTGCAAATTGAGTCCCAGACCCGGTGGCTTAAACTCATGCCAGGCATGTGTGCATGTGTGCTCAAGAGCCCGGGAGGAGAATGGAGGAGAAGGTATTGCAACGTGGCCATCCCCCCTGGGGAGTAATTTCTCGCTTCCTGTCTCTCTGTCTCTCTCTGTCTTTCTGGCGAGTGCACGCACACTGTAGCAAAAACCTCCCCCCCCCAAAAAAAATAAATAAAAACAACAAAAAAACCCATATATCAACTTTCCTGATTCTTGAACCAAATTTGGCACCAGTGAAGTCTATCCCATCCTCTGTAGGAAGAAAGTCTTTTGCCAGCAGATGGTGTAGTGGTTAGGTTGTTGGACTCCCATGAAGCTGAGTGCTGTTGAGTCCTGGATACAAAGGGAGCAGCAGATGGCACAATGGTTATGTCACTGGACTCCCATGTAGTCAACCGGTGTTCAAGTCCCAGGCCTAGTGGCTTTCAACTCACTGGGCATGTGTGTGTGTGCGTGCATGCCTATAATCCTGAGAGGAGGATAGAGAAGAATGGATTGCGGCCTGGCCATCACCCCCCCTCCCCGTGGGTGATTGCTCCCTTTCTGTCTTTCTTTGTCTCTCCAGCAAATACACATTGCCCTATAGGAAAAATCTCTTTTTAAAAGAAAAAAGGAAAAAAGAGTCTTGTGAATGCCAGGTCTCTCTGAATAGCTTCCTAATTTCTGGGAAGACTGTACCCTCAAGGATAGCTAACATTTAGGTTAGTGTGTTATGTGGTTTGTTGAGAAAAATTAGAATTAAAAAGTCAATAATTTTCTACTTTGTATCAAGTGAAAGTGAATTTAAGAAATTTAGCGGTCATCATCAAATGCCCAGGACTATGTGAGGAAGGCCTTATGTATATAAAGGTGAATCGATGTGGGTCCGTGGATTACAACCCTCGCCATCAGGGTGTTTGTAATCCAGCATGGGAGACCCAAGTGGATTATATACAGCTGGATAGGAAGCAAGATATTAAGGCGAGAAATGGAGTGTAGAGAGCTAAAGAAGTGATGGGAGCCAATACTTTATCCTACGAAAGAGTGGAATCTAGGAAAACTTCAGAGAAGAGTGTCCATGAACTGAATGTTAAGGCATTAACAGGATTTAAGCAGATAAGGAGGAATGACTGTGTGAGATGGAGAAAAAACAGGAGAACCAAAGCTGGAAGTCAAGAACAAGTGGAGCGTATTTGGGGTGTCCCAGGTGGTCTGTTTTGGTAGGAACGGAGTGTCCGAGATGAGTATAGAAGGCAGTATGGCTGAAAAGGTGTTCTGCCATGGACTGTGCTTATACGCTTTGAAAAGACTTAGCCTAATATATTCATTAGCCTATATTGAATTTTAGATTAGTGGGAAAATTGTTAAGAGCCTGAGCTTTAGTCAGGCTACCAAGGTTCTAGCTCTAGTACTTAAGAGCAGTGAGACCACGTGTAGATTTTCTAATCCGCCTGAACCTCCATTATTCCCCTCTGTGATACGGAGATAATGACATCACCTTATTCTGAGAGGTAAGTGAACTACAATATCTAAAGTAAATTACAATGTCTAAACAGGTACCTGGTACCTAATTAAAGACATTTATAAATGTTAGCTGGTTTACATTGTAATTTTATAGTTTCATTAAAAATATTTAACTATTTACTCAGATGTGTTCTGTTTTCTTCAGTAGCATCGATGAATCACTTGTTCCAAAATGTGTATCACTAAGAATATCAGAAGAACAAATTGTTCAAGATACTGTTTGTCCCTGTAAACTGTTAGAGATGTTAACTCTTGTTAATTTAGCTTATTAGTATTTACTGGGTGCCTACCATATGCTTAGTGCCAAGGAGAGTAATGTAGGAGAGTACACAATAAACCCCTGTGTTCAAGAGCCTCATAATCTAGGTGGAGAGGAAAAAGTAGCATCTCTGTTATAGAGAAAGCTATAGTTTTGTCTTAGGTTCAGAAATGTGTCACCACTTTTTGAAGGTGTGCAAGGACATGAAATGACCGGATGTACCATTTTCTTTGTTCACAGTGCTCTTTTTGCAAGTGTGACCTTAAAACAGAAATATAAATAGTAAGTAAATAGGTACAGTTACAGAGCACAAGTAACTTAAGGATTCAGAGGAGGCAGGTATTACTGTGAATTACTGGGTTTGGAGAACACTTGAGGGGAGAAGTAATGTGTGCAAGATCCAGTGAGGGGATCAGGTAGAGAGTTTGCCTCTCAGAAGAAAGGAAAGCTTGAGCAAGAGCCAGGAGAGTCTTATAGTTTGAGAGGATGAATGGAAACCAGCCTGGCTTAAGCTCACAGGGAGAAAAAGAAGTTGAGTTGAATAAGAGAGCCACTGCCGGGAACCAGCAGTTAGCGTAATGGCTATGTCGCTGGATTCCCATGTAGTCGACCGCGGTTCGCATCCCAGACCCTGTGGCTTAAAACTCACGCCGGGCGCGTGTGTGTGCGTGCCCAAGATCCCGAGAGGAGAATGGAGGAGAAGGGATTGCGGCATGACCATCCCCCTTGGGGGATGATTTCTCACTTTCTGTCTCTCTATCTGTCTCTGTCTGTCTGGCGAGTGCACGCACCCTATAGTGAAAAAACCTCTCCAAAAAAAAAAGAGAGAGGAAAAAAGAGAGCCTCTGCCAAACCGTGGTGAGAATGGCAGCTTGGAATGGGGGGATTGGAGGAGTATTAATCAGAGGGGGGATGAATGAAAGTGGTTTGTAGGAAGGTATTTTGACAGGGATGCTCAAGATGGTTTGGATGGGAGAGAGGAGGATTGAAGTCGTGGAGATAGACTCTTTAGCCATTGCAGTGACCGACCGGCATGTGAGAAGAAGGCCTGCAATATGGTGATGGCAGAGGAAGAGTAAGAAAGGAACTTAAAGACATTCAAAGGACAAATCCATTCGGCCCTGACACTGTTGTTTACTGCTAGAGTGGTCACCTCAGGTGATAGGATATTGAGGCAGATGAGGGTCCAAGTGCAGAAACAGAGGTATGGAAAGCTTACCAATAAGGAAAAAAGGTTAGTTTGAATAAGTTTAGATAGATAGATAGGTAAGTACTTAGTAGGTAGGTAAGTAGATAGATAAGCAGTTGGAAACAGTTAAAAATGACACAAATTCTACCATTTTAACACAGCTGTTCTTCATTCCCCCTCTATTTTATCTTCTAACCCTGTCTTATATACCCACATACATATTTATATCTCCAGTCACAAATGTTCATGCAATTTTGTGTTTTTTTTTTTTTTTAATAAATGTCATGGGGACCAGCAGCTGGCTTAATGGCTATGTCGCTGGACTCCCACGTAGTCGACTGTGATTCCAGTCCTGGACCCGGCGGCTTAAATAGACACCGGGGGCTTGTGCATACATGCCCAAGATCCCGAGAGGAGAATGGAGGAGAAGGGATTGTGGTGTGGCCATCCCCCCCGGGGGGGGATTTCTCGCTTTCTGTCTCTTGGGCTCTCTCTGTCTTTCTGGCACGTGCATGTGCCCTATAGCAAAAACCTCACCAAAAAAATAAAAAATAAATAAAATAAATGTCATAAACATTTGTGTTCATGGACTTTTTATAATTATTCAGCGGTTGTCAGACAAATGCTTCCCTTTAATCTGGCCGATCCCCCTTGCTTCCTGAAAGCAGGGACCATACTGGTGGTGTTCACTCCTATGTATCTAGAACACAGGAAAAGATGAATTAATGTTTATCTAGTGAAAGCATTACTGACCACATTGATTTTCCCGTGCTTTTTCTTACAGAGGTTACAACAAACGTGTCTGTGATAGTTGTGTTTTTTGGTTTTGGTTTTACTCTTGTTAAATTGTTTTCCTTCTGATAAATGCTCAAGATCGAAACTGCTGTGCGGAGGGATGTTGAGTCTCTTTGCAGGACGTCAGATGGCAGTGTACGAGGGGGTGTCCAGAGACGCATGCTGGAGTGGAGTAAAAAGTCACTGCTTTCTGCTAGTAGAACTGAGTCCCAAGGTTAAAGGCTTCGTTAGGGAATGTTGGGCTTTGATGGCTTTAAGTTTGTACATAAGTTCTTTCATCAGCCTTTTGGTAACTAGCAGGAAAATTCACGTGACAAGCTATTTTTTGTGCTTTATCATTATTTTGGGGAAGAACTGAGGGACTGAATTTTTAATTTACTGAATTTAAGTAGCTACATGTAGCTCATGGCCATCATCTTGGATAATGTGAACTTAGAAGGTAGAAGCAGTAGGTATTGGTTACCAAGGAGTACGGAGGAGAGGGAGGAGCCGAGTAACCTCATGATTTCTACCTCACCGAGGGGCAGACTAATGTTTCTACATTTGGTGTGTGTTTCTTACAATAGGGCCCCAGAAATGGCTAGCGTGCAGCACAGTGCCTGGCCTCCTCTAGGTATTCAATCCATGCTGGATTATTTTAATGAGACTTGGGCAGGATTCACAGCACCTGTGTTACATTTGTTGAAAATGAATACAGTCTGAAGGTATCTTTGAAAATCGTATTTTCTTCTTACTCAGTCTTTTCTCTTTCTGTCTTTGTACAATCAGGTATCAAATTGTTGTGGAAATCATCCAGGCGACCACAATTAGCAGCTTTCCCCAACTGAAGAGGCACAAGGGTAAGACCCAGTTTGTTCTCTTCGACTGTACATTTTAAAGGTCCTAGATCTATCCTGTCTTCTCTCTCCTATCAGATCTTAGGCAAGTATGCACATTCTTCCACCTTACATTGAAATATTTCAAATTTATTAAAATGACAGTGTAGTAGAATTAGAGAAAGTAAATATAATTTAGTATCTCTGTATTTCTTTTTCTTTTTTTAGAGAGGTTTTTTGCTATAGGGCGTGTGTGCACGCCAGACAGACAGACAGAGACAGAGAGACAGAAAGCGAGAAATCAACCCCCAGGGGACATGGCCACACCACAATCCCTTCTCTTGGGCACGCACACACGCGCACCCGGTGTGAGTTTAAGCCACTGGGTCCAGGACTCGAACCACAGTTGACTATAGTCATTATGCTAACTGTTGGTCCCTCAAATTTATTAAGATGATAGTGTAATAGAATTAGAGAAAGTAAATATAATTGGTAGTATTTCTGTATTTCTTCATAAGCTATCCATCTGCATAGGGTTATTCATCATTTTTATTTTACAAGAGCACAGATCCATTTTTATTTATTTACTTTTCATTATTTTAAATCCTTGAGGATACAGCATTACATGGATTCTGTGTCCAATGGCCTTAGCAGGAAGGTTGCATCAGAATCTGCCATGAACCATGCCATTTCCATGGGCACAAATAACCTTTTCCCAGATTATTCTGATTTTATTTGGTTTGTACACATAAGCATACCTCCTGCCTAAATAGAATTCCATTTCATCTGAGGCATAAACACCTTCAGTTTTAAGAAGAGCCATGTGCTCCCTTTGGTTCCTGAGACCCCTCTCATAGCCAGCAAAAATGGCCTTGGACCACAGCCTTCCAGATTTAGTTGCCCTTTGTAAGTCCTGTTCCCAACAGGCCTCCACAGGTTTCAAGATAGTGGAAAGCTCATTTTTTTAAAAAATAAAATTATTTATTTACTTTTATTTATTATTATTATTATTATTATTATTGATGAGAGGAAAAGTGAGAGAGAGAGAGTGAGAGAGCAAGCTGTCAGGTCTGAGACTTGAACCGTGGTCGGTCATGTGAGAGTTCAGCACTTTAACCACCACACCACCTGTTGGCCCCTAGAACCATCTTTTTTAAAAGGTTAAAATAATTGAGTTTATAGTTTCTGTTCTGTTTTTAAACTAAACATGCTCATATAATTTTTTATACCAAAATTTAATCTTAGTATTCATTAATATTTCTATCTTGAAGCATATTTTTTTTTTTGAGGTTTTTGCCTTAAGGCACTTGCAATTGCTGGAGAGAAAGAGACAGACAAAGAAAAGGGAAAGTAAGAAATCATCCTCCGGGGGGGATGGCCACACCGCAATCCCTTCTCTTTGATTCTCCTCCCGAGGTCTTGGACATGCATGCACATTTGTCTGGCATGGTTTTCAAGCCACCAGGTCCAGGACCTGAACTGTGTTTGGCCATGTGGGAGTCCAGCGATATAACTACTACACCATCTTCTTGTCCCCGAAGCATAATCTTGATAGACATTTAAATAACTCCAAGCTATTGATGTTGTATAATTTTCTTTTTCTTTTAGTTAAGTATTTGGATTTGTAATAGCTTTTTTCTGCTTTCTACTCTTGCATTGTAGATTTTGAAAAAAAAAATTTTTTTTTCCTATTCATTTCTCATCAAATGAAGTAAGATTTTTAACCAGGCATGATACTAAAGTATACTTACTTATTTTTTTAGAGATATTTTTGCTGTAGGGCATTTGTGCTCACTGGAGAGATAGTAAGACAGACAGAAAGTGAGAAATCACGCCCCGGGAGGGATGGCCATGCCGTAGTCCCTTCTCCTCCATTCTCCTGTTGGGATCTTGGGTAGGCATGCATAGAAGACTGCCATGAGTTTTAAGCTGCTAGAACAACTGGAACCGTAGTTGTCTATGTAGGAGTCCAGCAATGTAACCATTATGCTATCTGCTGGTCCTGATACCAAAGCATACATATGGTGTGAGGATGGCACTCAACTCCCTTGTAGTTTGCCTGGTCCTAGCATATCCCGCTTGCGTATGTGAAGTTGGATGACTTGTTGCAATACAGAATGCAGAGCAGGTCTTGATTCATAGCTGAGAGACCACAAGCACTCCTTTCACTTTGCAGAATAGACTTTCCTCAGAACTCTTCAGGCCCACTCAAGTGCCTATCAGAGAGCATAGTCTAAAGAACAGGAAACAATCGGGCCAGAGACTTTAAAACATACTCCCAGGTTTCTTATTAGCAAAGAGCACAGACAAAGGTAAAAGGGAAATGAAGATGAAATGACTAGCAAGAGGTACTAATCTCAATCTTGGCTTAGTAGAGAGTACTGTGCAGATTTGTTCATTGAACAGTGTTTACTGAGTACCTACTAGGTGGTAATGATACGATAGTTGACGAAACAAAATCTCTGCTTTCATCGAATCCCTAAACTAGGCTGTGAAGCAATCAGACAATAAAGAAATAAACTGCACAATATTTCAAGTGGTAATATGTTCCTTGGAGGAAAACAAAGTATATAGAGGCAGGAGGTGGTGGGCAGTGCTGGTTCACCTGCAGGGGAGGCTAATTTTGCATTCAGGTAATAAGCTGGAGAAGATTTTACCCACATGGTAACCTTTGAGCAATGATCTGGGCACCTTGAGGGTGTCTGTGGGAGGGCAGGTGCAAAACCCTGAGGCAGAAGTTGATGTAGTGGGGTGAAAAAGGGTGAGTCGGGGGGTAGAACCCAAACATGAGCTCAGAGGGGTCACAAGGAACCTGGTCACAAAGGGCCTCACTGATACTGTAGGGACTCTGACTTTGAATGAGGAAAGAAGTCTTCAGACTTTTCAGCAAAAGAGACTGGATCTGATGAATGCCTGTAAGAGTATGAGTTCTAGTCCTCATTTTTCTTGCAGAGAAGGTGCTTCACCTCTTTTTCCCCGTTATTATTGAACGTAGTCAGAAAATACACCATTTTAATTTGTTACTCTGTTAGTTTGCTAGGACTGCCATAACAAAGTACCATAGATTGGGTATCTTAAAGCACACAAATTAATTTTCCTACAGTTCCAGAATATAGACTTTTGAGGTGTTTGCAGGTTAGTTCCCTCTGAGAGCCATGAGGGAAGGCCTGTTCTAGGCCCCTGCGACTTGTAGATGGTTGTCTTCTCCCTATGTCTTCACACTCCCTTTCCTTTGTACTTGTCCTCCCTTTGTGTTTACATTTCCTATTACGAGAACATCAGTCATACTGGGTTAGGACCCACCCTAGTGACATTGTTTTAACTGGATTATTACTTCTGCAAAGACTCTGCCTCCAAATAAGATCACACGTGAGGTACTAGAGTTAGGACTTCAGCATAGAGAGATTTTATTTGGGGAGTGAGAAGAGGACATCGTGTAGCCCAGAACAGTTACGTTACTAGATATTCTCAGTGACTCATCTTTCACGTCTCCATTTGCCATCCAAAGGCTGTCCTTAAAACTTTCTTAGGTATTCTGACTTCCTTCTCTTCAAGCATTGAGGAAAAACCAGTAAACTAAGCGTACTGCCTTGGAGTTATTTTATTTTGTCTGGGCACAGTAAACACAAGAGATCAGTTTCATTACTTTTCTGTGGTTACTGGTTAGCCATGATTATCCTCACAAACCTCCATGTTCACATAGTGGTGTAATGTTTCAGCAGATTTTAGTCTTCCTCCTTTTTTGCAAAGTTAAACTGACAAGATCAGTCCTTAATGCTCAATGTTTAATGTGGAAATTTAACATGAGAATCTGTGCATCTGTTACATATGTAAGGATAAATTAACTGGCAAGAATGTAGTCTTAATATAGTATTTTCTTGTTAATTTTAATTATAACTGAAATGTATTAGTTTCCTAGAGCTACCATAGCATAGTACCACAAATTATATGGTTTGAACAACAAAAATATATTCTCTTACAGTCCTGGAGTCTAATAGTCTAAAATTGAGGAGTTGGTAGGGCCATGCTCTCTGAATGCTCTGTCCCAAGAGTCTTTTCCAAGCCTGCCTTTCTCTTAGCTTTTGGTGATGCTGATAATACTTAGCATTCCTTCGCCTGTAGACACCTCACTCTAACCTCTGCCTCTCTGGGCACTCGACATTCTCCCTGTGCGTCAAAAACACAAAGTTTTTTTCTCTGTTCTCATCCAACAACCAACACGGGAGGCTTCTGTGACTAAATGTGTGTGGGTCCCCCTGTCACACACACACACACACACACACACACACACACACTAAATAAACAATCAGTTTTGCAGCAGATGCCAGCTGACTGTCCTTTAATTTGTTTCAGTTCTGATGTTATCTACTGGAGATAGCATCAGACTCCATAGGTTGAGGGCTCAGACCCACAAGGCTTCCCCCTCTTCAAGATACTAGCCACAAGTCTGGGTCTCCAGAACTTTTGGCAGGTGGCTATAAGTTGAGTTTCCTACAGCCCTGTCTTAGGTTTAATTAATTTGCTAGAATAGCTCACATTATTATGGGACACTTAGGTTTCTGGTTTATTATAAAGGGATATTTTAAAGGATACAAATAAACAACCAGATGAAGAGATATATAGACAGGCTGAGGTCTGGAAGGTTCTGAGTTCAAACACTTCTGTCCCCATTGGGTTGGAGTGAGCCACTCTACCAACCTGTGGATTAGTTCTTATCTACCTTTGTGCAAGTCTTCACATGCTCAGCTGTCTAGAAACTCACTGAACCCTGTCTTCCTGGCTTTGTTTGTTTTAAATAGAAACTTCATTCATAGGCATGTTTGAAGCATGGACTACCATATAGTAATGTGGTTGGACAGAGGACTATGCCTCATGCTGATAGAAAGAGTCAGGAATCCTGGCCTGTCTCTTCAGAGTCTTCTTAACCTTTCTGTGCAGCATTCCTTCCTTCTGGCTATAGGGGCAGGACCCTACTAGATTGAGGGTCTTGTGATGTATTATCAGAAAGATGGAGGATGATCCAC